AAGAAAGAAAGAAAGAAAGAAAGAAAGAAAGAAAGAAAGAAAGAAAGAAAGAAAGAGAGACTGGCTGGCTGGCTGCCAATTATCACCTTTCCAAATCAGATTGTGTTTGGTTTTGGTTCGACTGCCTGACTGACCTGGAATTTGTGGAATTCCACTTTGCATGTGTGGAATCTAGAACAAAACCTCTTTCATTAAAGTACAAAGGCCATCATGTTCAAATCATTAGTTTTACGACATGCTCTTGGACTAATTATTGCCAACTTGGGCACTGAGTTTCGTTAAACTTTCTTTGGTATTTGATTTGTGCTTCAGAACAGATTGAGAATATGTATCACTTTTTCAGAAATAGTAAAATATTAAACATGCCCCACAGTTAGAAAGATGAGAGGGCATTAGCCTTTCGCTTGAATCCATTTCATGGCCATAGCTACTTTTAACTAGTTACTGGTTAATAGCATGTTGCAGTATAGATTATCCAGAAGAAAACACCTTAATCTCAATTTATTATCTGTAAACCAGACTTTGACCTATATCTATCAAGTGTTCTTGAACACAGTTGCTGCCAATAGCAAAGATATATAAGCTAAATGCAAAATGTGTATGAATTAGTCTGAAATAATATGCCAACTTTTGACTTTTGGTTCCCTTTGCATGTAGGGTCCCTCATTCTATAAACCTGGTTTCTCCTGTTTTGTAAATATGTTTCAGTGATCTCTATCTCAAATCACCAGGGAAAAAACAATATAAGGCAACTCATATTCTTTCTCTAACATCTGACTGAACAATGCCACTGTGTTTACATGGCTCTATAATTCAGGCTTATATCATTATAGTAGCTGAAGGAAGAATCTAAAAATATGTCAGTGTAATGATAAATAAATACATTTTAAATCAAAATTATTGAGTTTTCAACTAAGCAGAGATAGATTATGCTTAGATGGTCTTTGTTAGTACAACTGCCAATGAAAACATGTATGTCTTTTACAGTACTGTTGCTTGAGAAGATAGAAAATGATGATATTCACAACACGACTCTGAAAATCACAGATTTTGGCTTGGCAAGAGAGTGGCACAGAACAACCAAAATGAGTACTGCAGGTACCTATGCATGGATGGCTCCTGAGGTCATTAAATCATCCATGTTTTCTAAAGGAAGTGACCTTTGGAGGTAAATGACTTTTGTATTATTAAATAAAATTTGAGTCAACCTTATGTTCAATGGTTTTCTCTGAGTATGCATGCAAAATAACCTTAATGGGTTCTATTTTTTATTGACAAGGGTTTTTTTTTTTAAAAAAGGAGATGCTTAATGTTTAGATTTAAATAGTAATTGCATAGGGCTTTTAAACCATAAAGCAGTTCACAATAATAAACAGGTTCTGAAACTCATTGAATCCCACACAATTCTAGATGTGGAATTCTAGACATTACTTTCTAATGTCTATATTAGAGCTTACCCTGAGCCATGGTGGTGCAGTGGTTAGAGTGCAGTACTGCTGGCTACTTCTGCTGACTGCCGGCTGCCTGCAATTTGGCAGTTCAAATCTCACCAGGCTCAAGGTTGGCTCAGCCTTCCATCCTTCCAAGATTTTATCTATTTTATTTATTTTGTTTGGTTTGTCAATTGCTTACAAAATAATAGGTATAAGTAAAAACATAGTTATGAATACATGGATACATATAAGAAAAATAAAAGAAACAATAGGACAGGGATGGTAGGCACATTGGTGCGCTTATGCACACCCCCTACAGACCTCTTAGGAAAGGGGTGAGGTCAATAGTAGAAAGTCTAAGGTTAAAGTTTTTGGGGTTTGGGGAAGAAACCACAGAGTCAGGTAGAGTATTCCAGACATTGATCACTCTGTTGCTGAAGTCGTATTTCCTGCAATCTAGTTTGGTGCGATTAACCTTGAGTTTGTATCCATTGTTTGCTCTTGTATCGTTATGGTTGAAGTTGAAGTATTCATTGACAGGTAGGACATTGCAATGTATGATTTTATATACTATACTTAGATTGGACCGAAGGTGGCGTAGTTCTAGGTTTTCTAGGTCTAGAATTTCAAGTCTGGTGGCATAAGGTATTCTGCAACGAGTAGAGGAGTGGAGAACTCTTCTTGTGAAATATTTCTGGACTTTCTCAACTGTGTTAATATCAGATACGTAATGTGGGTTCCAGACTGATAAGCTGTATTCGAATATTGGTCTAGCAAATGTTTTGAATGCTCTAGTTATTAGTGTAATATTAGCAGAGAAAAAGCTACATAAGATTAGGTTAACAGCTTTTAATGCCTTTTTGACTATGTAGTTACAGTGGGCTCTAGCACTAAGATCATTAGAGATGAGTACACCAAGGTCTTTGACAGAGTTTGGATCATCAACAAGGTATTGACTGTATTTTATTTTCTTATTTTTTTGCCAATATGTAAGACAGAGCATTTGTTTGTTGAGATTTGAAGTTGCCGTTTATTTGACCATTCTGATACATAGTCGAGGTCTTTTTGAAGGGTAGCAGTATTGTCTGTAGTGTTGAATAGCTTTACATCATCAGTGAAGAGGACGCAGTTGCTCTTAATATGATCACAGAGGTCATTTATGTAGAGTATGAAGAGAGTTGGTCCTAGAACACTGCCTTGGGGACACCACTGTTGACAGGTACAGAATTCGATAGGACACTCCCAATTTTGACCATTTGTTGTCTGTTTGACAGGAATGCTTCTATCCAGTTATACAGGTGTCCAGAGATACCTATAAGATTTTAGTTTTAGGAGTAGTTTGTTGTGTACCACTGAATCAAAGGCTTTACAGAAGTCTATGTAGGTTGCATCTATTGCTTTGCTCTGATCAAGTTGTGTAGTCCATGTGTTTTTGCAGTGTAAGAGTTGCAGATTGCAGGATAGTTTTTTTCTGAAACCAAATTGTTTATTAGAGAGTAGGTTGTTTGTCTCTAAGTGGAGGATAATGGATTGGTTAATAATTGATTCCATGACTTTACAGGTGACACAGCAAAAAGAGATTGGTCTGTAATTTTCAACTAGGCTGGGGTCTCCCTTTTTGAAGATGGGGATGACCGTAGCTTGTGACCATAGTTTTGGTAAGGAGCTGGTCCTGAAAGATTTTTCAAAGATTATGCTTAGAGGTTCGGCTATGGCAGTGGATAGCTTTTTTAAGAAGTAGGCACATATTCCGTCTGGTCCAATAAATAGAGATGGTTTTAGATTGCGTAGTGCTTTTTCAACATTGTCTTCTGTAAAATTGATATGTATTAGATCATTGTAGTTGTCTGTGGTTCGACTAGGAAATACTGGGCATGATCCATTGCTGTTTATAATACTGAGCCAAAGAATGTGTTAAAGCGGTTGGCTTTAATGGTGTCATCATTGCAGTCTTTACCATTAGGTCCTTTCAAGGGTGGGATGGACCTTGAGTCTTTTAGTTCGTTGTTTACAAAATTGTAGAAAGAGCGGGTGGAATTGGTGCGTAGAAGGTTTTCCTCTTGTTTAAGATGATAATTGGTGCATTCAGTCTTTATCTGGTGGCATAAATTTTTGTTTAGGCTTTTGAAGTTGGCAACGTGACCAGATTTGTTTTTCCGCCAAAGTTATCTCTTTTTGGGTTGAAGCTTCCTTATTGTTATGGGTAATCTGTTTGTTCTGGTTTTTGGAGTTGTTATTGGTACATATAGTTTGATGACTCTTGACTTCAAGTAAATATATGTTATAATGGTCTTCAACAGTATTGCATCCAGTGAATAGAAATGGAAAGTGAATAGATGAGTAAAAAGTGGATCCAGATTGTTGGAGGATAATATGCTGACTCTGTAAACCACTTAAAGAGGGCTGTAAAGCACTGTAAAGTGATATATAAGTCTAAGTGCTATTTGCTATTGTTACTCTGTGGCTTCCGTGATAGGAAAAGGACATTTTGTGGGTCCAATAATTCACAAAACTCTCCCATGTGTTTAGTAACTGTTTCTTTTACTCTATAACTGTTGTGTTGTGTGGAAAATAGTACACATGGTTCTTAGCCATAGGACTGTTGGAGATAGTACAGATAGTCCTCAATTTATAACAGTTCATTTAGTGACTGTTCAAAGTTACAGTGATACTGAAAAAAATGATTTATGACCATTTTTCACACTTACAACCATTGCAGCATCCCCATGGCCACATAATCAAAATTCCTATGCTTGGCAACTAGTTCATATTTATGACCATTGCAGTGTCCTGGGGTCATGTGATCCCCTTTTGTGACCTTCTGACAACCAAAGTCAGAAGGGAATCCATATTCACTTAACGCAGTGATTCACTTAACAAATGTGGCAAGAAAAGCCGTAAAATGGAGCAAAACCATTTAACAAATGTTTCACTTAGGAACATAAATTTTGGGCTCAATTGTGGTCCTAACTCAAGGGCTAACTGTAATGAGTTTGCACATCACACTAAGGTTTAATGTGGATTGATTCACTGTTTTCTACACAACATGCTTAAATAAGCCATAGCTCAGCACAGGGTGCAAAGGCCCTCTCCTCCTTCCGATCTTTTTGCTGGAACATGAGAAGGCGTGTCTGGAAGGACAGATCTTCTTCAGAGAGCTTTTTGTCAAGCCGACAATATTCTAAAAATGACCTAATATGCTGTTTAATTAAATGGATGTACGCTGTAATAAATCTGATACTTGAGTATTAATAAAGGTGCGTTGAAATAGCTCTCAAAAACTTCATAACTGGTGACAAGACGATATGAATTCTGACATAATAAAGTAACATTTTATGCCAAGAGACAATGCTACCAAATTTAATTATGGAGAGTAAGCCACTTTGTCAAGTTCTCTGGTTTGAGCAGTTATTCTGTCTTGGTTTGGATACATTATTTCCAATTTTCAAGTTTTACAAGCTGGATCATGGACAGTGTCAAACCCATTTTTTTTTTTAAAAAAAGGCAAAAGCAGCATAGGGTTTATATATTCTTGTAATGTAATTGCAAAGAGGCTTTCTAAGGCTTTATCTTCTACTATATGTTACCATACTTGCCATGTTATCCAAACCAAGTACTTAATGGAAATAAACTAACGTTAAAAAAGATTAAACTCTTGTTTGTTTAATTGTGGTTTTTAAAAATACATTGTCTTATTTGACCAACTCCCAGTTCATTTTTACACCTGTTCTTACCCTCCATCTAAGTGAATTGGTGAGTAGAGCACAAAAGCCAGACAGGAGTCATGCAGGAATGCACAAACCCTGTGGCTTCAAGCAGTAGTTTCCTCACTGACCCCTAGCTGCTCATCCAGCTAATCCAAAAGCAAGCAAATCCTATTCTGTGGTATTGCAAAGTATGCGTTCCATTTCACAAAGCTAAATTTGTTCCTTGTAACATTTAAAGCTTTTAAAATTCATAACACTCTGACTAATCTGAAATAAAAGCAAAACCTTCTGAACTCCCCTCAGCTATGCTAGTAGCCAGTGAGGAGGGGAAGCACCTAAGCCCCAAGTCTGCATGTACACGCTTGTAATTCTAAGCCATGATTTAGTACAACATCTAAAAGCAGCCAGGAGAGACATCAAGTCTACCCAGAACACAGAGATTATTTTGTAGACAGAGTCTATAGTGCTTCAAACTCCTCTGCAAAGCCTCATGGGTCAGTTTTTCTTTCCCTAAAATAGAAGAAAGTAAAAGCTGATAATTAAAAACTCTGCATTTCTTTTGTTGCTTCTTTGCTCCTCTTGCTTCTGCTGTATACCCTTGATTATTATTTTCCCTGTAGCAAGAAAATACAGAAACATTTTTGTTATTTTTATCTTCAGTATTCTTTGATCTTTAAAAAAGAGAAAAAATATTGCACGCACATGTTTATTCTTAATTTGTTGCCTACTAAACGTAGATCTTTTTTTATGCATTCCACCGTAGGAAATTTTTTGAAGTTTTTATGCATCCATTTTGCTTAACAACAATTTCATTTAATTCTTTTTGAAGGCGAATCAAAATGTTCTTAGCACTGTAGCCTAAGTTGCATACGGAAAGGAGTGGTTGCCATCGGCTCAGTTTCAGCATAGTTACAAATGCAAAAATATAATCTTTTTTTCTTCCCCTAAGCAATTTAGCTGCAGGCCCCGGTTACTTTCTGTTATCATGTCCTTTGAGTGTGAATTTCTTTTCAGGCATGGCTAACACCTTGACATTACTTTTGATTCTTGAATATTTGCTTTTCTTGCTTTTTTAAAAATCTTGCATTTTCTTAAGTAATTATGCAAAGTAAATATACAAAGATGGAACTTGATTTCTCCTTAGCAAGGCCCATGAGGGAGAATTTGGTTGTGCTGTTCTGAACTGTCTGATCTGTCTTTCCCCCACAGTGAATTGATAGTATACAGGCACTCAAATGGAGATGAAGCCTGTGTACATCTCCCAAAATCTCTAAAGCTCTTTGCTAAATCAACACTAAGAAACACTAAGACTGATTTCTTGTTTAACTTGAAGGGGAGTAATCGTTACATGCTGATATGCTGAGGCTTCCCATTTACATACAGATAAAGCAAGCAGAAATGGCTGCCATTTTGCTATTTGTTACATTCATTGCTAGTCTTTCTGTACACTGCTTCAAATCACTCCTAATGTTAATGATGTTTACTAGACTCTGTCATCTCAATTCTGAAGACATTGGATTTTCAATCCATATGTGTTGATCAGCTCAAATACATTATTATGAAGAAAATCAACCAACTTCCCTCAAACCCAAGAACATTTTGGAAACCAGCTTTACAAAATGCCCCATGTAAATACCATCAGATCATCGAGCCTTGTGTAAAAGAAGTGATAATTTGTTCCCTTTTGTAGCTAAAGAATAACTAAATTTCAATCCACTTCAAGTAAAGTTTTACAGAACAACAGTGAAATACAAAATCTTGAAAATCTTGGTGGAGGAATAATTTAATTGTCTGCAAAAAAAATGTTTCTGGATTCAAATATCCTGGAAGTTTAATATGTTTCATTTTACTGCAAGTGCGTATAGTATCAAATCTAGTATTTTTGGGAAGATACAGATAATTGCATTGGCATTGTTATAGTGCATCCTTCCTCAGCTTAATGCTCCAAAGATATATATATGAGTTTACCTTTCTTTGAATAGCAGCATGGCAGATGCCCTCTCTCTGGATGTTATTTTCTCCCACTTTCTAGGCAGACTACTGTCCTTCCCTACCTTAAGAAAATCATGCCTTAGCATTACACAAAGACAATTAACTGTTTGAAAATTTATTTATAGTTATGGCGTATTGCTGTGGGAACTGCTTACAGGAGAGGTTCCTTACCGTGGCATTGATGGTCTTGCTGTGGCTTACGGCGTTGCTGTCAATAAGCTTACTTTGCCCATTCCATCCACCTGTCCTGAACCATTTGCTAAACTAATGAAAGGTACTTGTGCTGCTTATTAAGACAGCTGTTATAAGATTGCTTGCATGTTCTCTATAATATATGCGACTCTTAATGTCAGTGTTTCATTTAGTATTAGGCTAATTTCTATTCAGAGGCAGAAAACATTTTTCCATTCCACTGAAGTCCTGTGCTTAATATACTTGGCTCTGGTATATTAAATATGTGGTTCATTTTTTTAAAAGTTGCATTCATCTTTGGAAGTACTAGCCTGCTTATTGATTCAATCAGTTATGTTCTACATTTCTTCCCAAATAAGCTCAGAACGGCATTGAAGCCTCACAGCAACATGAGATGTAGCTTCAGTTAAAATAGTGTGAACTATCTGAATGTTACTTTGTGTTCCACCCAAGTTCCTTGAGTGAGGATTTGAATCCAGGACAATAGCCAGTAAATTATGTTTGGTCTTAAAGGAAATCAAAATACCTTATCATTGAAGTGATAAAATTAGACGGAACACCAATCACACCCTTTATCAGAATTTCACTCCTTTCATCATTCCAAATAACTAAAAAGTGGCATTAAAATCATTCCTTAGAACAAGTCACATGAGGGGGAGAAAATGGAATTTTTGTTTTTTTTAAAAGCAAGAGCCTTGGCAGGACATGGGTACATGGACTCTCATAATTCCCATTGCACGCAGCACATGAGCTAATACTAATTACTATTACTAATTTACTTTATATCCTGCCTTTCTGGACATGTGTTGGATGTACCTATGATCTGTTTGTCTTTCTGCTATCCCTTTTTTTAAAGTGAAAGGATCACAGGCATTTTGAAGATCATGCTTATAACACTCCATGCACATACACATACATCCAAGTCATATGCTTCAGGTGTAATACTCCACTCCTAGGTTTATACATGACTACTTCTTGGAATCTGTTTCTCCACTGCAGTTTGTACTAGAACACATCAAGAAAGTTCTCTGTTGATTTTTATTAAATGTTCTTAGAGCTGAAACTGCATGAGAGAAAAAATATATTATTATTATTATACAAATTTTATTAATTTTTAAAGACAAACAAAACATAAAACATAAGAGCATAAAACCTCTTTTCTGAAAGCTACTTATTGAATTTTAACAAGGCAAATAAAACATTGTTTTATACAGCTTAGTTCTAAATTATCACATGCAAGAGAGGAAGAAAATATATTATTATTATTACGTGTAGTAAAGCATTTCTGCAAGGCGGACTTAGAGTCAATTGGTCTTATTCTTCTGACAAATGTAATTGGTGAATTTCAGAGTGCTGGGCACAGGATCCCCATATCCGACCGTCATTTACTATGATTCTTGAGCAGCTGACTGCCATTGAGGGGGCTGTACAGACTGAGATGCCTCAAGAATCTTTCCATTCTATGCAAGATGACTGGAAACTGGAAATCCAGCAGATATTTGATGAACTGAGAACCAAGGAAAAAGTGAGTGAATTTTAAAGTACATAGAGATTGTGGGACTATACTTGTTTCAATAAAGTTTGAATAAACATTGGGGCAGTGGGGGAATAGCTCAGAAATTAAAAAGCTGAGTTTGTCAAGTGGAAAGTCAACAGCCCGGGTTCAAGACCTGAGCGCCATGTGATGGGGCAAACTCCTTTTATATGCCCCAGCTCTACCAATCTAGCAGTTTGAAAGCATGCAAATGCATGTAGATAAATAGGTACCACTTCAACAGGAAGGTTACTGCATTCTGTATTTTCATGCTGGCCACATGATGATGGAAATATGTCTCATACAACGTAGGTTCCTTCTGCAGAAAATGGGAGATGGGCACCATCCCCTTGAGCCAGTCTTGACTGGATAGGTACAACTTTTAAACTTTTTTCAAAATCATTGGAGCTCTTTAGCTTTTGTTCATTCTCATTTACTATCATGATATTTAGTTCTTAAGACTGGCTGCCATTTTTGTTGTTATTAGTATCATTTTTTTAAAAGTTCCTTTTCAGAACAAATAGTTTGAGTAGTTCTTTAAATGTTTTGGAGTTCCGGTATGTTTTATTATGTTAATATTTGGATTATTTTAACTCTGAGCATCTTATTCTAATTATGATGCTAATAGCTAGAGCCTGTTCTTAAATGTGGTGGTTGTAAAAAATCACTGATTTTTACTTTTTTTTCCATTAAGAGTTGATTGAGGTAAGCAATTTTTGGACCTAGTGGGCATGTTTGAAGTAGTCTGCCAACATAGCTGCCATTAAACTTTCATATGCATGCAAGACAGAGTCTTGGTAGCCAGTTGCCTTTTTTTTTTCAGATGACAGTTAATGAGTTGGCCATCAATTCCCTCAAGCCTCCTGTGATACTTCTTACCTCACTGTTTGCATTTGCCCTTTTTCTAAGTAAATATGTTTGGCTCATTTCCAAATAGTGAATTGAGAATGCCTAGAATTTAAGAATTAAACATTGGTCTTTGAGGCAGATGGGGGCCCCAGATTTATTATTATAATTAAGATAGTGCTGGAGTTTGATGCTTAAAACTTACTTGGTGTTGTGGTTTGCCAGATCCCAGGAAACAATGTTATTTATTTGTTTATTTGTTTGTTTAATTTATTTGCTGCCTATCTCACTGTGAGGCTATTCTAGGAGGCTTACAATAATAAAAACAAGAAAACAAAAGGAGTGTAAATAGAACTAAAATAACAGAGTGATAAAGTAAACAATGAAAAAAAAAACACAAGAAGAATATATCAGTGCGATAACCAAACAGATGGATGGGTGGAGAACAGAGAACAAGAGACAAAGGGGGAGTCTGCCATCAGTCCAGCAGTTGCATCCAGTGTGGAACTTCTCATTTGGTCCCCTAGGCTAACCAGCAGATACAGCTCTTCAGGCTTTTACAGAAGGATAGGAAGGTGGGGATAGATCTCACCTTGGAGGATAGGATGTTCTAAAGGGTGGCTGCTACAGTAGAGAAAGGCTTTTTCTGGATCTTCATAGTTGGAGTTCATTGACAGATAGCATCCAAAGTAGGCCCTCTCTGCTGGCACGATTAGGATGGGCTTGTCCTAGTAGTTCATCAGGTGCGGTTCATCAGGTAGCCTGGATCTATGCCATTAAGGATCAACCAACACCAACATAGTTATCCTTAGGGAAAACACTTGCAGCAAGAAGTATGAAGCTTGTATAAAGGAATTGTTAATAGTCTCTAGAAATTGGTTTTGAATTCTGCATAATGAACAATAAAAATATCCTGCTCGTTGTCCCTCTGACTTTATAACATATACATAAATTGAACCAGGTTATATAGTCTTCATTTACACATCTTAATAGAAAATTCTCCATGCTTGTCAGTTTAACTGAATCTTCTTGTCCACATTTAAATTTCACAGGCAGGAGTTGGTACCCTTGGGGACTGCAATGTCTGTTACATTTTAATTAACTGGTACCTTACTGAAAATTAATATTTTTTTCTTAAATCCTCCAACAGCAGAATTATGCTAAAATAATAACATACTGTAGATACAGTCTTTGTAATCTCTTACAGAAGTTAGCAAGAAACCCAAATGATGGGGGGAACCGTACTGATTAATAACAATAATGTGGTAAAAAAGCAAAGATAACAGGTGCCTTGAGTGCAATCCCAAAACATCTGGAACATCACTTGAACACAATCCTGCCATTAGCCATGGTCACGTGATCCCCACTGACTTTTTCCCTGCTAGTTTCCCAGGCTTCCCCATGGACTTGTGGGAAAATATCAGTCTTTATCCATCTTCAATATCCTATATATATCATCACTCCCTCTATGGAAATTCCAGCAAGCTTTCTTTGTTTTCCTAGATCTATAAGCATCGACTGTTTCCTGCAGTGATAATGGTACAGCCAAATACACAGTTTGTTCTTGCAAACATTTCAGTTGTTTCCCTCCGATCTTCAGTTCTAAAAAGCTTAGCCAGATTCTTTCCAAGCAGAATATTGGCTGCTTCCAATTATCCATAGTTATGTTTTACTGTGGGGGTTCTCCTCTTTAGATAATTGCCAAATAATGTCACTATGGATGTACCCATTTATTTAGTTAATAAATATATAGACCTATAGGCCTATCTCATATACATGACTCTGGGCAGCTAGCAATTAAAACAAAATGAACACAGACTAAAAACACAACCAATGATTAATGACATAAATAGCACAAACAGCCGAAAACAGCAGCCAAGAATAATTTAATAGGTCACAGTCAATATAACTTAAAATCAGGCTCCCTGCATTTTTAAGGTTCTGGGATTGATGGCAAAGCCAAGTTTTTAATGCCTTGTGAAAAGCCAGCAGGGTCAAGGCAGATCTGATGTGGGGGTGGGTGGGAATGATCTTTCAAAGGGTGGGTGCCATGGCAGAAAAAAACCCCACCCCGGGTCTCGCTATATATAGTGCACTCTCATAGAAAAGGACCCAGAACAAGCGTCTCCTGCCAGATCCAGTGGGATGAGTAAACACCACCTGGGGCAAGATGGCCCTGCTTGTTCGTCGTGAGGCAGAAGACAGTGTTCTAACTGCTACTTCCATTACAATTGTTAGGAGCTGAGATCAAGAGAAGAAGAATTAACAAGAGCTGCTCTTCATCAGAAATCTCAAGAAGAGCTGCTGAAACGGCGAGAACAGCAGCTCGCAGAACGGGAGATTGACGTATTGGAACGTGAATTAAATATATTGATATTCCAGTTAAATCAAGAGAAGCCTAATGTTAAGAAGAGAAAAGGGAAATTTAAAAGAAGTCGATTAAAACTTAAAGATGGGAACAGAATTAGTCTGCCTTCAGGTTTGTTCCTTTTTCCTGCTCTTGTCTTGAGCAGGTTTATTTAAGGCAAGTAATGCATTTCCGGTGTTGGATTCAGTTGCTGACAATTTCGGAAATTGTCATATTAAAGCCAGTAGCATCATCTCAGGTAGATGCTGAGAGGGGTACTTTCTTCGATGAAGATTCAAGTGAGGAGATGCTTCATGAAGTGGTGTGGGCCATTCATTTCTAGAAGCAGAACCAACCAATGGTCATGCTTTGCTTTGCCCTGCTTACAGTTCCTTTTCAGCACAGCTTTTCTACAGAAGACGCACCTTTTGCCTTTTTGTGTATATTATTGTCATATGCAGAAACCATGGGTTTGGCAAATGACACGTGGCTTTTCTGGCTTTGGCAAGGCAAGAAGAAGCTTCAGTATTAGATAAAATGCCAGGTTGAAGCAATTGATGTTGTGCTTTTGCTTAGACCAAAAGAATCACATCATCTCCATGGCATAATGTCAAAGTGAATCTACGTTGCCTTGTATAAACCTGGTTTCATAATCTCAAATCCCCAAATGGGACACTATTAAGTGTGTGGAAGAAATTAGTAAATTCTGAAGTGATTAAGAAGTGTTGCTCATTCCAAGTAGAGTTCTGATCTACTTTTTAGTTATAAAAACTTCATGAAGACAGAAAGCTTATTTGTCACTAGAGTGAGAATAATTGCTTTGAAGTATGGCCCCACACATGCATTTCTATGAATTTCAATGCTTTGGACCCCTTTGAGATCTCTAAAAAGCAACTCCTATTAGTTGGATAAATTGGTTCCAAGTCTTTTTTTTCTTTCTTGCACCTAATTGCAATTTAGAAAACATCATGAAAGAACATACAGTAAATTCATATTTCAATGTGGCTGATTAAATTAGAATTGCTTCTTTTTGATGGCATTGATATCACTTATAAATAATACTTTATAACAAGGCGCTATTATATTTTTAATTAGAAAAAAGAAAGAGGTGGGTTAAATAACTTCCTGCTTTACACCTATTATGCTTTACATTATATTAGGTGTCTAATTAAGAAAGGAAAAGTTTTAATTATACTCCTTTATTCATGTGATGTTTCTTAGCTTTTATAATTTTTATTGTAGCTTTTAAAAAAAAAGATAAGTACTATTTGAAATTAATATAAAGTAAGGAAGAAAAAAGAAAAGAAATAAATCAAAGAAAAAGGTAAAGAAAAAAAATTGAGGAAAAATTGAAACAACAGAAAAAAAAATTCTGCAGCATTTACTGTACATCCATATGGTGTTTCTGTTGGCACTTCTGTGTCCTTAGTCTTGTCGACAACATCATTTCAATAACCTGTGCTATTTATCTGTTGTGGCTTGTCTTTGTCAGAATTGTTGCTATACCATTAATTATCTGTTATTTACCTTTTGTACACAATGCATTTTCATAACAAACAGACTGGTTTGAGAGTTGCTGGTGCTGGTATGAGCTGTTTATGAGTGTTGTTCCTATTAGATGTTTGCTATTCTGCTTGTAAGAATCTCTTTCCATTCAAATCCTAAATGCTTCTCTGGCACAGCGGAACTAACTACTGAAGAAAGTCAGTTCTCCATGGTATACACTTCGAAAATCGCATGCCAATCTCTAGTCAAATAGGAAATTTCTTGGATAAACAGTCTGCCTCTTAAAATAGTTAAGAGTAGCCTTGGGCGTCTGGCCCAAGGTCAGCTAGAAGGCTTTATGCCTAAGGCAGGACTAGAACTGGTTACTGGATTCTTAACCATTGCATCAAATTGGCTCTCCTTAAAGAATTTATAAGTTAATGTGGTCTTTAGGCTCTTATTAGTAAAGGAGTTTTCTTAGGAATGTGCTAAAATTCAACATTCTATGTGCATCACTTTAATACCATGCAGCCAGATAGTCTGTTATTGAAATTTTATTTTGAAACATTTCAACTTAACCTGTCCTTTTTATTGTAACAGATTTTCAGCATAAAATCACGGTGCAAGCTTCTCCAAATATAGATAAGCGCAGAAGTTTACAAAGTAATAGTTCTAGTCCACCAAGTAGTCCTCCAATAATTCCTCGCCTTCGAGCTATACAACGTAAGTCTAAAAAATGAGTATTTCTGTTGCTCTTGATACATTTTACAACATTTTTTTAATCACTCTGAAAAATATTTCATATTGTTAAGTATAATCTTTAACTTGTTTGACTAGAAAAAACTGGATTGACCACATTGTGACCTATTCCTGCAAAAAAAAATGCATTGGGTAATATCACAGAAAGATTAAAACAAACAAGAAAAATGGTGATTATTGATTAATTTCAATAATTCTGCAAATGTGTAATAATAAAGTAAATGCTTGTGCTGATACAACCATTAATTGTGATCTGAAGCTGAGTTAAACCATCACAGTGATAATTGAATTTCAAACTAAATTAATTCTGTTTTCCTTTCACCTTTCATCTGATCATCCCTCCTGTCCTCCCCTCACACCCACAAACCAAGAGACAACAATTGAACTGGCTGCTTAATCAGATATAGCACTTTGGATAAATTGGGAGAAGAGTGTAGACTTTCATGCTCCCTTAATCATCCCTAAGGTTTACTTTTACATAAGTCTTATAGGGTCAATTCATGCAAGTTCTTTTGCCTTGTGGAAAATATAGTCTCTGATTAATGTAAAAGTTTGGGTGTACATTGTGTACGTTGTAACTTGTCTCAGGAAAACATGGCAAATAATAGTAGCACACAAGAAGACTGAGTAATATGATAAGCTATTAACATGAGGAAAATGAGGAAAAATTAGAATTCAGTTCTTTTTCTTTTTTTCTTAAAAAGGGCCTTTCCCCATTGCTGAATTAAGGTATTTCCACTCGAGTTGACACAAAACTATTCAAGCTGCTCTCTATGCCCATCCCATCCTGACTATACCATCTGTTCTGACTGTCTGCCAAATAGTGCTATCTTGATTTTGCCTGTTCACCGCTTGATAGGCAAAGTGATTAGGTAATTCCTGTGTCCTCCTGTTTCTGCATGCCAGTAGCAAGTGGAAAAAACAGCCATTAAATATAGCATGACCTGACCTGTCTTCTTCAGGCTTCTTCTCATGCCCATTCTTCTACACCTTGTTTTGTTGTAGCCCAAGTGTAATAAATTGTTTTAAAATGGGGGTTGTGACAGAAGATGAATAACAACAATTTTACTTCGGGTTTATTTCTTCGTTCCCTCCTGTCCTTTCCTTTACGTTTTGTTCAGGAGGCAATAGGGAAGAGGATCCATTCACCATTCTGCTGCTTTCTTAATATATTATTGCACTAAACCAGTCATGGCTGTATCGTTAAACCACATAACATTACTGCCAACTGAGCATTACTGGGTCAGACTCTTTAGGGAATCCACAGAGAATGGCAACAGATATGATATAACCAGGGAGACAAAGCATAATGGCCACATCAACCTGAAATGTTCAACAAATACCTACTAGTGCTAATCACCTGATAGTATTTTCAGTGTAATAGACAGCAAAGCACAATAGAATGTGCACACTTCACAGTTGTAGTTGGATACAGTCAGCTTAAGGAGAAACATTACTTTACATCCATACAGCTGGGTGTAAAATAAATCTCACTCACAGGCCAGGCATTTTTAAAAAAGGAAATGTTTAGGGACAGGACAGAAAAAACGATCTTGCCACTCATGTTTTTGCTGGAGTTGGATGCAAATGGAGAAAGGACTGAAAGGGTGGACCTCTGGTCTCAGTGACCAACCCAGATTGGATACTGCAACGTTATTGTGGGACATGTATTCATTTGTGCAAGGAGTGAAAATATAAATATATCTTTGTATGGGTGAGGTTGTGGATATATGTAATTTCATCCTTCACCAGAGACTTTGGACCCAAACAGAACTGAGGTTCCAGGAAGGAATTTATGAATGTTACACAAGACTCTTGTGTCATGTTACACAAGACCAAGAGGACATTGTCAAAGGCAGGGATTGCTGGAATTACTCATTTCATCTACCAGCTCTGCTGATACCAGTATATTTGCACATGTGTAACTGGGCACACAATTATAGCTGTTAATTGTTGAGGTGGAAAATTTAAAATTGCTTACTTACACAGTTTGTGCCTTGCATTTCTGTAGTATAAACAAGTGTCTTGTTGGATCAAGACATGGTCCATCAGTCAAGCATTTTGTTTCCAAAATTGGCAGGCCAGAAGTTTCCTCAATTTCACAGTCAGGGGTAAATAAAGCCATGTGTTTTCCCTCAGCAGAAATGATTTCTGCTGATAGAATTGGAGAGAATGATTGCTGTTCCCCTGCAACTTTTCACATTTGCTCAAACACTCCTCCAGAAGATTGCTAAACCCCCAGAACAGATATTTGAGGCGTAGCAGGCTAAAGAGGGCAAGAAGAGGAAGAAATATTATTGTGTGAATAGACATGCTGATGTAACATTAAACCACTCCGAAGGATATATAACTCTCAAAAGTCTTGTTGACCATTCTTAGCATCTTGAATTTTGAACTGTATTGATTCCAAATATGGACTTTCCATGTTATTTTAATTAGGAAGAGTTAATTGACTGGGTTTGACAATTCACAAAAGAGAACTGCACACTTTCCAGTTTCTATAATTAACAGGATGCCAGATGTGCACTGGCAAAGTGAGATCATTATGCATAAGCATAACTGAATTGGGCCTGGAGAATTTGAAATGCTGCTTACATGTTAATTTTTAATTTTTAAAAAATTCTACATTTGCTTTTAGAAGGGCTGGGGAAAAATGTGAACAGTGTATGGAACTTGTCCTTTCCAGCGAAGGAAAAGAAGGGAGTGTTACATTCAGTTTAAATCTCAGTATTTTCCCATTGCATTCAATCATTAATGCTGGTTAATTATTCAGTATGTTCTGTTTGAAGATAATAAATTGTCACTCCTGTTTCGCAGCACTGAAAGAGGATATTGTCTGTCAGTTTTTCAACCTGGATGTCTTGCAAACAAAAGATTATTTTCTTCACTTTGAACACCATTTTCTTAATCCTTTGTTCCCATTATCTTCTATTAACTTGCTGCTGAGTTAACAGATAAAGTTGAAGGAGAGATCTTCCCTACCTTAAAACGTGTGTACTCATTTGGGTAAAGCTGAAGCCTTTTTTTACCCATACAGCATATTTTCTCCCCTGCTTTGCAACCATACAATTTAAATAGTTGATATACAACTACAGGAATCTTTTCTTATCTTTACCAAGACTCTTTTTGTATAGATGGAAATTTCAAGAGAGGTCACATTCATCTTTAACAAAACAATTTTAAAAAATGGAAAATTAATGAATTTTTGATACTAGTTCCATACTTTTTATTAAGGGTTATGTAAAACAGCTTTAAAAACTTAATTCAAAAATACATTTTAAAAAAGAAAAAATATTTATGAACTGTAAATTGCCCCCTAAAAGAAGAAAAAAAGAAATTCTAAGGAAACTTACTTCATCCCTAGCAAGTACTATATATTCAACATTAACTGCATCTTCATTCCTTACCTCACCCATTTTCTATAAACTTGTGTTTAAACAGAGGAGATAAAGTTCTCCTTAATCTGCAAAGATAATTTTTTTAACAAAAATAGCTAATAGCATATATATTCTCTCCATAGTCCAAGTCTCCCTCTTCTGTCTCCTAACAATTAAACATTGAAAAAAAAGAATTAAAAACTATTAAATATTACCAGAAATAATAACCCCTTAGATGTCAAAAACAATAATAAACATATTACAAACTAGTCCATTACATTGTTAAACATTTCCAAAAGAAAAACAATCTAAACAACCATTAAGACATTGCCAGAAATAGCAACTTGTTATTTAATCAACATTAAACAAACTGGTTTCATAATTTTTTTTCCTTTTTCCTCCTGGGCTTCTTAAGTCCCCTAAATAAACGTCTAACTCCTGTTTTCTTCTATATTCTTTTGTCTCTTCTCTCAAAATTCTTATCTTTATCCAAATCCACTTGCAATTTCAAGAAGTAGCTCCAGTAAATTTTTTACATTTCAATTTAAAAGAGTAATAGTCATTCTCAGTTTGAAGCTCCAATAAATAGAACTCAGTTTATTAAAATTATATATATATTTTAATTAGATTGGGCTCTCAGTTTCTTTCTTTGCGAGACCATGAAGTAGGCAAAATAAATTACTGAGTTGCTTTGACTAAGCAAATAAGAATGCAAGTTTCACTCTCATCCCAATCAGATTCAGTTCAAAAGAAAAACTACTTTTCAGAATTGCTTGAAAAGTCTCAGAAATGCACATGCCCTTAGGTAAATTCAAGCCTATCTTCTGCATTTAGATTGTTCCTGGGACTCCTAGAATTTGCAAATTTGAAAAGATCTTAGGATACACTATCCTATGGTTTTTCCCCTTCTTCATTTGCTTCCTGTGGAAGGAGTCTTTGTGTCTTAGTCACTGGGACCCAACATAGATAACCTCAGATGAATAGCAAGTACTATTAGATGCCCCGAGGCAATGATGACAGCACTTTTTCTAGAAATACCACACTTATTGAAAAGTCATGGGCAGCAATTGGGGAACCATCAGAACCAGGGGCATGTATTACAGAGGTTCCTTAGAGAAAGGGGAACTTTATATTAACAAAGTACTTCACTTGGTTTTTTTTTTTTTTTGGCAATATCCCCATTTACCATAGACCATCCAGCCCATTCTAGAGTGTCCTAAAAACTTTACTGTTTTCAGGAGTGTGTGGGAAGTATAAATTCATTTTTGTGTGCTCTCCGTACTTACAGGTGTTAAGTTACAATCCGGAATATTTTAAAAAATGCAGTAATATATAAATTTGTCATTCTCACAATCATGAACAGGCTGTCATTGTTATCTTCTTGCTGTCTTCAGAACTGTTTCCATTTCTGTGCAATATAATAGGAGTTGTATAGTAATGTCAAATTCTTTTGTGTGTGTGTGTGTATAAATGGTTAAACTGGTTCAAATCAAATAAATGCCTAAGGCATGCTGCCCAGATTGGATAAGTGCTACAAAATCATCAGTGGGGATTTCACACTATTAAACAGCAATTAAACTATTGAGGGAAGTATAACTCAATAACAATTAAAGTGTTGAGGGAAGTATTACAAATCATAGGATTGAGTTAATTAAAGATGGTTCCCCAAGAACTTATATATTCATTTATTTGTACTAGCTGTATCTGGCCTTTACTCCAGGGGTTTCAAGGCAGCACACAGTGTCCTCCATCTTTCACTTTTCTTACTACAATCCTGTGGAATAAGATGGGCTTAGACAGGGTGATTGGTCATAATCACCAAGTGAATTTTTAGGACTTAGAAAAAAGACTATTAAAGACTATCCTCAGTCCTAGACCTGCATGATAATACTGTATACAGGTAGTCCTCGGTTTACAGCCATTTGTTTAGAGCAGGGGTCGCCAATCTTTTGGACCTCAGGGACCACCAAACTCATAATTTTAAATCCCGTGGACCAGAGACCCTGGGAAAATCCCCCAAAAAGTCTGCAGGAAAATCCGCCACCCCGTTTTCCTACCAATCGATTGTTCTTTATTTGGGATGGCAGGATACAGTCTCCAGCTCTGTTCTGGGGAAAGTGGGGGAGAGATTTTTGGCTTCATGCAAGGAAAGCAGCAGAAGTCTTTCTTTCTCTCCCCCAAACTCCACCAGAAATGAGTCTTTGTGAGACTTGTCATGCCAGCGCAGCCTCTTGGAGCAGGATGCCTTGCAGAGTCCCAAAGACTCATTTCTGGCGGAGTTTGGGGGAGAGAATGGAAGACTTTTGCTGCTTTCCCTGCATGCAGCCAAAAGCAGAAGAAGAAAGAAGCGGAAAGAAGCAGCCCGGTGGCCAGGCCAGGCATGTGGGGCAAGTTCCCCCCCCCGTCCTTTCCCCCCTCCCCTCACTTTCTCGTGTTGTTCGCAATGCAAGTGACACAAGCCTTGTGTTCCTGTGGGCCATGTGGGCGGCTCAGCCTTGTGTTCCCATGCAGCCTGGATTAATTGCTTTGGGGGTGACATTTCTCTGTGGACCCCCAAAATTTTCTCATGGACCGCTAGTGGTCCCTGGCCCACTGGTTGGCGAGCACTGGTTTAGAGACCATTCAAAGTTACAACAGCACTGAAAAAAGGGACATGACTGTTTTACACACTTAAGACCATTGCAGCATCCTGGTGGTTACTTGATCAAAATTTGAGCACTTGGCACCTGGCTTGTATTTATTATAGTTGCACTGCCCCAGGGTCACATGACCACCATTTGTAACCTTCCCAGCTGGCTTCTGACAAGCAAAGTCAATGGGGGAAGCCAGATTTGCTTAAGGAATGCATGATTCACTTAACAACTGCAATGATTCACTGTTATTAGAAAGGTCATTAAAATGGGGCAAAACTCGCTTAACCACTTGTCTTGCTTAGCAATGGAAATTTGGGGCTCAATGGTGGTTATAAGTCAACTTTAGGGCTCAGTGGTGTTTATAAGTAATCGCTCATATGCTGTTCTCTGCCAGGCTTGGTGAGCCATTTCTAGCATGCAATCATTGGGTTCTGCTATTTAAGAAAAAAAAATTGAAACTGGTATTGATTTACTATCAAGCCAAAGGACCACCGGGTGGATTCATGTATATTCTCTAATTGTTTCTTCAGTGATCTCCAAAACTGACTCAAGTACAGCTAATGGGCAAAGAAACAGTATATATGTATACCAGCAAGATGTAGATATCACAAGTGAATATGAATTTCCCTGTGGGGTTCAGACAAAAGGCAAGCCAATATTCACTAATACAAGGTGTTGGTTGGTTGGATTTCTTAGCTAAATTTGGATAAAGAGATACGCTGAATACTTATGCCGCGATTTCAGATTAACAGAAATATTATATTTGCGTATTAAGTCTTGACTTTTCTCATAGAAGACACTATTTCAATTATATCTAACGAAAGTATTCAAAAATAGTAGCTTATCTGAATTTATCTAAAAATAAAGAAAAATTAAAAGCATGAAAAAAATCACTATCTGTTGATTGACTTTCTTTTCTTACCCTCTTACCTCGGTAGATTCATTCTTTGCCTGTTTCATTTGATCATCTTCTTACCTGCACTTTGGAAGGGAAAATTGTCTCTGCGGTGGTACTGTAATGCAAATCTTAGGGTAGATGCCGAATTCTTGTTGAGATCTTTTCTCTTTTTCCAGTAACCTCAGATGAGAGCAACCAAACATGGGGAAGGAGCACAGCTTATCACCAGGAAGAATTTGAAGAGGTGAAAAGAAGCTTTAGAAAGAAAGGTTGTACTTGGGGACCAAACTCAGTTCAAACAAAAGACCGTTCCGACTGCAAAGAGAGGTATGGTTGATGGGCACCATGTGAATAGACAATACAGTGTGTCTATGAAAAATTACTAGATATTGTGCTTCTTAGGAAATTGAATGGTATGTAGATTGATGGGAGACAATGAAAACTCACATAACTGTGAAGACACTGAAATAAATAGAGCTGCATGAATGGACAAGTCAAAAGTACAATTGCACATGCTGGATTAAATATTCATGAGTTCTTTGTGACAAAATATGCAGATTCAATAAGGGAACGTATTGAATGGAAAATTTGAGGACTGAGACTTAAACCTAATCTCTTTCTCAGCTTTGTATTCCAAAGACTTAAGATCATCCCCTACAAAATGGAGCAAAACAGATGCGGCAGAGATTTAGGGACAGAGTATATCAAAGTCCTTTACTTTCTTTTTAGTTCAGGAGAGAATCTTGGCTAGAGAAAGTAAGACAACTTAGATCTCGACGTTCAGAGTCTATTGTGAGCTTGCACAAGTCTCTGCTTGTTCACAGACTATCCAGTTCCCATTGCTAGAGGAATCTGTCTTTACGTGCGGTTCTAGGGCATGGGCAGCAGACTTGAAATATTATTAGTAGGGGAGAGGAATGCGCAGAGTTCCTTGTTCTTAGAAGTGTTCTGGGAGCATGTTGTTTCACACACCATATTCAGTAACGAAGGAAGCTAGTGGGGACCTCTGTGCTTCCTTCCATGGGAGTAATAGACATAAAAAGCAATAATTGTGTTGTTGCAATTTATATCGGAAAAATTGGAGGTGGGATAGAGACGTGGGTTTTTTCTAAACACCCCTACTTCTTACTAAATGCAAACATGAATTACTAGCACAAAATTACAGGATGAGAAGAGTTAATTATCTAAGGCCGTCCCACAGTAGTTTGCTTTTTCTGGATAAAGTTATTGTTAGAAGAAGTTGAGAACTATCAATTACATTAAAGACCTGCAGCTTAGCTACTAACTATGATTTTGAAAAAGAAATAAGATTATCCTTATTATATTTTCTTACAAGTTAGGAAAAATATGTTCACACTTCAGATAATACAAGTGATAGGAGTTTCTAAACAAACTTTGCATTGGAGAAAAAAACCTTTTCCTAAATTAACACATATTGGAAAAATGAGGTGTTCCTTCAAATATGGTGGACTTATAGTCAGCCTATGACTTACATAATTAGTCCAATGTTGTAGCAAAGGCTCAATATATTCTGCTGTGCAGGAAAAACACAGTTGCATTCTTCATTTTATTTATTATGTCTTTAGAATCATATTTGTATAAAAAAGAATAATTACGATTTCCTCTGATTTCAGAATAAGACCTCTCTCAGATGGTGGTAGTCCTTGGTCAGCACTTTTGATGAAGAATCATAAAGATGTCCCATTAGCTTCTTTGTTCATGGACCAAGGTAGGTGTTGAAATATAGTTGTTTTCAGGCCCTAAAAGAGAAGAGCACTCAAATGCTCAGGGGGCCATAAGCTATAAATCATACCTTCTAAATAGCAGTGGCCTGATTTTTTAGTGAGTTACCAAAATCCCTGTCCACTACATAAATTTTGGCAGCAAATATTTGTAAAGATTTTGTTTAAATATTTCATTTATTTATATGTACCTTTAATGTATCAAAGATACATATCCTTTTTAAAATTTGATCCTACTCATTTTTCCATTTGATCCTGCCTACTTTTTATGGACTTAATGTCTTTTTGAATACAGAGTTCACTGTGGTAACTGATAACATTGAAATACAGTTTTCGGATCTGGGAACCCTACCCCTATGTTAGACTTGACTGTTTTGAAACTGAACGTCAAGATTTCATATATACTGAAAATGTTTATCAGGGCAGGGGATGTATGGACTTGAATTCCCCAGTACTAATTGCATTACTATCCTGACCAATTTTACAAATGAAGAAACTCTAAGGTCCTCTTACGCTGATTCATGAGGATTATATCCAGTGGTAGCCTTCTGCTTTAGTGGAACTGACAGTGGTGGATCAAATTCCCACCCACTTCCACGGTGCCCCAATTCTGTGCTGGAGGATTGGGGGATTTCTTTAGAGCAGATGCAGAAGGCATCAGAGAAATATTGGGAAGTTCTAGTTCTATCAAAAGAATTCGCTCAATGTAGGATTTAGATCTATTCCATAATTATTAAATATGCCTTCTCTTCCCTAAAATATATTTGATATTTATAAGACTAATCGCAGACAATATTTTATCTTGCCATGTGCTCTCAGCAGTAAATTCAGATCCAGGTAGCCATGTACAGAATCTGAGGTCCTTCTAATGGAACAGTTGAAAATAAACCTATACACACTGAATTCTTTTGGACACAAAAATCATGCCAGATAATTGTTTAGATGTTTTATTCAATTGACATTCATAAAAATGGAGGGGAATGGATATAGGAGAAACCGTGTTGTTTCACAGCAAAGAAAAAAAAATTCTGAAAAACACAGAATCTAAAAAAACCTACCAGTGTGGTTTTTACCTTATTATCTTGCTTGATTTTCACTAATCAGGAATTTTGTATTATTGTGTGATACAATAAACTATTCTTTTTATTTAAGAAGTACATCCTGATTGTACCATTATCATGTTATCTATAATTTCATATTGGTCATTTCAAAATATTTTAACTTCTGAATATAATATATAAACACATCAATAAATTTTGCATTTGTACAGAACAGAAACTTTCCCCTGAAGGCCTTGATCCTAAGCGACCAAAGCAGTTAAAATTGCCAAATCAGGCTTATATTGATCTACCTCTTTGGAAGGATGACCAAGAACTACATTCTGCAGAACAGGACAGCCTTGATCGAAATTCTGCAAATAGCACTCCACAAATGACCCCAACAAATAGTATCAGCAGAACGTTACAGAAGAAGAAAACGGACACTGTATTGTATGGTTGTGCTGTCCTTCTAGCCTCTATAGCTATAGGTTTAGATATTAGGGAGCCAAACAGATTGCAAAGTGGGGATGAGATGTTGCCTAAGGAGGAAAAGAAGAAACGTGACAGCCTGTTTCAGCGAGCATCGAAGTTTCGGAGAAGTGCAAGCCCGGTGAGATTGCAGCCTAAGAGAGAGGAGACATGTGTCCCTTCATCATCTCCAGGTGCAAGTACAGTGAACCTCCTGTCCATATCTTCCATTTCTACTAAATGCCTCCTTCAATCTGACAATGAGGATGCAACTATGAGCACAGCGCCTGGCAATGAAGATGTTCCCATTGAACCTTTTTTGCCTGGAAGTCAGACAGGCAAACAAGAACAATTAGACAAAGTCAATCGGACTGTCCGTCCTGATTTGCCATCTCCCAGTCTTCCTTTGAAGCAAGAACCTCAATGTGCAGCCAGTGCCATTTCTTCGAACGTCAAAGTATGGGGTCATAGGCGGAGCAGGTCAGATGGAAATGCGTGTCATTCCATAAGTGAGTAAAATGATATTTGTGGAGGGTGGGAGAGAGAAAGATGGTTCAGTTTGATGAATAACTCAAACAATATTGTAGTTCATAAGCATCAGACAGAAAAGAAACAGTGGGAAATACTGGGACTGAAAAATAGCCGATGTACTCATGTTTTGACTTCAATATTTCATGGTAGAAATTTAAGAATTGTGGTGGCACAGTGGCTAGAAGGCAGTATTGCAGGCTAATTCTGCTGACTGCTGGCTGCCAGCAGTTCGGCAATTCAATTCTTACCAGCTGAGGGTTGACTCAAGTTGACTTCCATCCTTCCAAGGTCGGTAAAATGGGGGCCCAGATTGTTGGGGGCAATATACTGACTCTGTAAATCACTTAGAGAGGGCTGTAAAGTACTGTGAAGAGGAAGTCTAAGTGCTATTGGTGTTGCTATTAATATACCAGTTGATTAGAAAGACTTCAGTCTCTAAATTTCAATGTGTGTTGTCTCAGAGAAGACAAGTGGGTGGGGGGAAGCACAGTGTGAGACGGGGTGGACCTCTTTAGAATGGTTCAGTATCGCGCTACTTCTTGTCGTGGAATTAAATGTTCGTGGTGACTAATATATATGTTATTTTTCTACTGTAGCAACACTGTAACTCTGCTTTACATTTCTCTTCAATTTCTTTCTCTTCCGCTCAGCTAATGGAATTTGTAATGAAACTCTTGGGATTCTACACGCATCTGCTACGCCACAAACAAACTTTCAAAATGACCTTTCACCAGGGAAGCAAGAAACTGTCAATATTATTCCAAGACCTCGACCGTCTTCTTTAAGAAGCAGATTGGATCCCTGGCTGGCTATTTCTCAAAATACAAAGCCAAACCCTTTTGAAATGGGTAATTTAGAGGCTGACAGAGATTCAAAGGCTGAGTCACTGACTGATACCAAGGAAAGAACTAAATTCCACATGCCCTCTTTATTGGATATGGATGTGGAAGGTCAGAATAGTGACTGTACTGTACCTTTGTGTAGGATGAAGAGTAAAGCAGGTCGGCCATCAATTTATGAACTGGAGAGAGAATTCTTATCATAAGTGCCTTGGAATTTTTAGCCTGTTTTAAGAATAAATTTTTATGCTGCTCTTTTCTAAACATGATTAGTAGAATTTGATATTACGCTAGATAGATGAAATATTACAGGCAATGAACACTCTGTAAGCCCATATGTAGTTTAACTGATTCTACCATCACTATCCTGAATGAGTACATATGTGGATATCAATAAAGTTTTTCACAATTTTGATTTTTCATTCTTTTTTGCCAAATGACCAGTTGCTTTATTTAATTATTTTCCCATTAACCATTTGAACTGCAATATATTAAAATGCCATTGCACTGAAAATATGTTTTTCTACAGAGAGAACTCCAGTCTGAACTGTGGTTTTCTTTTTTCTCCCGCGTAAGATTCGAAGTATCTAGGCAACGTTTCGATGAAGTCTCATTCATCATCTTCAGGCTTCTGAAGATGATGAATGAGACTTCATCGAAACGTTGCCTAGATACTTCGAATCTTACGCGGGAGAAAACCCGAACAACCAAAGATCCACATACAAATACCCGCGAGAACCTCAGAAAACAAATATATATATATATATATACACACACACACACACACACACATTGGAAATGGCACAGTTCAACTTTAGCATGTCAAATAGTCAAAATGAACATTACATTAATTTTAACAAACCAGTATCATATAAAAGCAATAATTTTCATAACTGAAATATATTTTGGCTAGGCAACTTTCCAAGACAGTAATTTGATTAAAAGTATTTAAGATTTTTCATGTAAATTCCTCATATCTATGACTGAAGAATGCTTCGGTTTGCTTGTGTCAGTTTGTCTGGTTTGCATATTTTTATAGTGAAAGGCGTATAATTTGAATCATAGTCTATGAAGTACTTCTGACAGTAGTTATGGGGAAAAGATGGGGAGGAAATTTTTTATGCTAATTTCGCTAAACTGAGTTCTCCAGAGTCAAATTTCAACTCTTGCAATTTCCAGGCAGTGTGACCAAACTCAGTTGGAGGACACCAAGCTGATTTACGATAACAAAAAGGATTTTAGTTATTAAAAAGGCTTCTAGGGAAAGCATGTTTACTATAGCTGGCTTTTCCTATTCTGTCTGTGGGCTTTAAAAGGTCTTATGAAGCTGGCTTTTTGTCCTGTGTCAAAATAGAACTTTTAATTATAATACAATTTTAATTTATCTATTGATAGAAGTTCATGTGGAATTTTAATTTATCTATTGATAAAAGTTCATGGACATTTTGATTTAAAATTTAGTTTGATCAATTACGTGCTACTGTATGCATTTTAGATGAGCTCTGGAATGCATTTTAAGATAGGAAGCATTATTCAAAGATATAACTTTTGAATTGACACATTGCTCTTTTGCGCCATTCTGATGGATTTGCCAATGTTGCAGAAATTAATTAACATGGAATGTTAATGTCTAACATAAAATGAGTGTCTAACATAGAATAAAAATTCAGTTAAAAAAAAAAACCAGTAACAACAATAATAAATGCACATACGGGGCAGCTGCAAACCACAACAGTCACAAATAACATCCTGTGTAGTAGGCATCAATCCCTTTCTTCCTGTTTGAGACCTTTTCTTCTCTGTAAAAGTGTATTATTATTATTATTATTATTTTCAAAAGCATCTGAGCACTGCACAGGTGAGAGTGTGGGGAGAGAGATGATCAGGAAATGAGATGAGGGAGAAGATGAAGCAGCTGCTTCAGGTGCCAGATTGGCGGGATGATTCCAGAGTTTAGAAAATCATGCCTGCTGCTGGCATGTATGGATTCTTTGCTTTAGATGCCCAGAGCTGGTGTGGTGCTGTCCTGAAGGAAAGGCATAAGAAGCTTTGAGAGCTGTATGCAATGAAATGTCACTTTAGTGTATGCCAATTAGTGTACATCCAAAGTGACAACAAAGTTTTACTAAGTCTAAGAGCAGAGATAATAAGAGAATATGAGCAGGAGTTGCAGTAAGTGGGAGGTGAGACTGTATTTCACCTTCTGTTTCTGATGCTCCAAAACCCATTTGACGACGAGGCAGCCAACTGCTCAGAGATAGTGGAGATGCTAGTCGGAAACAGTTCCAAGTCTTCAGATGCTGGTATCTTCCCTTACACCAGGGGTGTCAAACTTGATTCAGTTAATGGCCGCATCAGGGTTGTGTTTGACCTAGGTGGGCTGTGGTGTGGGGGTGTGCCTGGGGGGGGGGCATGGACGGGGCCAGGAGTGGGATTCTACCGGTTCAGACTGGTTCTATGGAACCGGTTGTTATGATTCTGTGCAGTTCAGAGAACCAGCAAATTGTGTTCTTGGCTAGCCCCACCCATCAGTCCTTATCATGCATGCGCGACATTGCATGCATACCCTACATCACTGATTGCGTTCTCCCCCCCAAGTCACTTCTTAAGGTACTTCTTTCCCCCCCCCTACCAACAATCAGATGTTCCGATGACCAGTTGTGCCAGGATCCCCCTCGCTGTCTTACTGCTTTGCCCAGAAGGCAAAAAGGGGTGCGTGGGAGGGGTGCTGTGCGCCCCTCCGAGCTCCATTTTTTTGCTTTCCTGAGCCCCAGGGAAGCCTTCTGGGAGCAAAAACACCCCCTAGGAGGCTTCCCTGAGGCCCATGAGGCAAAAATTGGGGTGGGGGTTGCTGAAAAGCCACGCCCATCCACTCACATGGCCATGTGCACCTAGCCACACCCACCTAGGATGCCCACAGAACCAGTTGTTGAAAAATTTGAATCCCACTCCTGGACAGGGCTTGGCCAGCTCAACATCACTCATTGAGGCTCAATTTTCGGCCAGCAGAAAATGCACGGCCTCCCTGAGCTCTGTTTTTGCTGGCACCATGGGACGGTCCTTCACTGTTTCCAGGGCAACCCTGTGGGCCAGATCTAAGCACCCTGCAGGCCAGATCTGGCCCGCGGCCTTGAGTTTGACAACAAAGTCCACCTCACCTAACCTTTTGTTCTTTTCAGCTAAGCATTGCAACAAGGGCCACTATTCTGGCACAGAGCAATAATCAAGAATGAAATAAGAAAATGCCCCTTTGGGGAAAAGCAGGAAGGGCTTCCCTTGGGGTATATTAGACACTGTCTTTTACAATGAGTCTTTCAGTTGCAGTGAGACTGTGAAATGATGTCTGATCTTCCAGTCAGAGTGATGAGGTAACTATTGCATCATTCATATAATGATCTGAAATGGATCTAACTATTCAAAAAAAAGTGTGGTAGAAAAGCAAGAAACAACTATTGTTGAGTTTAGTTCCTTAAACTCAGATGATCCTGGATTATGGAATTATTTGAGTAACAGCTTGAAAGATTTCCTTATACTACAGCTACAGCAAACAAACAAAAAATCCCCACTTCATGTTCATGTTCCCCAAATAAAATGAAAGAAACTTGACTTATGACCACAATTGAGCCCAAAATTTATGTTGCTATGTGAGGCACTTGTTAAGTGAATTTTGCTCCATTTTTTGCCACCGTTGTTAAGTGAATCACTGCAGTTGTTAAACCAGTAACCCGGTTGTTAAGTGAATCTGGCTTCCTATTGACTTCGCTTGTCAGAAGGTCACAAAAGGTGATCACATGACCCGGAATCATGCAGCCGTCATAAATACATGCCAGTTGCCAAGTGTCTGAATTTTGATCACATGACCACAGGGATGCTGTAACGGTCATAAATATGAAAAATGGTCATATCACTTTTTTTTCAGTGCCGTTGTAACTTCTAAAGGTCATTAAATGAACTGTTGTAAGTCAAGCACCACCAGTAGCAATTACTTCCAACCCATTATTGGCATAAATTTCCCAATGATGATAAAGTAGATAGGCTGTGGCCTATGGCCTATATATTCAGCACAATATTCAGACTTTGTTGTAAACTCTTCTAGTCTCATATTCCAGCACAGTTCAAAATGAAATCATATTGTTACTGGCAGGGGTGGGATACGACAGGGGTAACTACCAGTTCGGGATTTATGAACTTCCCTGCAGGCTGCGAGCCGCACGCCTGTAAATCGTCAGCAGCAGCTGCGTGCAGAGAAGCAGCCTTTGAAACAGCCCTCTTTTCTTGCTTTTCTAACTGCAGCTGTGCCTCCTTCGGCACCTGAAGTTGAAAATCAGGAAATAAAGATCAGGTAAGAGCCCAGGTGAGTGGGTGGGCAAAAACACCAGCAGACATAGAACTGGTTCTATGTCTGCTGCTCTTCAGAGCTACCGGTTCTACAGAGGTGAACAGAACTGGTAGAAACCCACACCTGGTTACTGGTAACAAAAGTCAAACAGAAAATCTGAAGTAAATTGTTACTCTCTACTCACTACACAGCTTAATATCAGCTATAAGTAGTAAATGACTTTAACTGAGCATCTTGTTACAACAAAACCTAGGGAAAAAGTCTCTGCAAGGGTGATACTACAAGAACTGGTATGATAAGCTTCTTGAAGACTAGGTGATTGAAAAAAATGACATCAGAGGTCAGACTTATAATAATAAAACATCGGCATAGACACAAATTCTCTATCAGTCAATTGCAAAAGGCAGCTCAACTCAGAACAGCTTGCATCCTGGAATTACTAAAAGTGCATAATAATACAGCAGGGGTGGGGTAGACTTTCAATCAATTTATTGGAGCATGAGTTGACTCAAACTAGAAACATTTGGAAACTCAGGAAACTGCTCCATTCTTTGCAATTACAAAGGCATGGAAAATAGACTTGTAATTATATGAAAAAGTTTACTATGTAGATGAAAAAAGCTGAACATTTGCTGTTCAGGCATTTCAATTTAGTTCTCCCAGGTAGGTAGCAGAGCAGAACAATTAGAGGTCAAAACAGAAGTCAGATTTGATACCATTCAACGTTTTGGCTCAAGCAGTGAGATATCTTTTTGCTTCCTGATTCAGATGTCAAAATGTTGCAAGCTGACTCCATGAAAGAACTTTCACAGCCCTTTGAATAAAACCCATTTTTGTTGTAACCCTTAAATGCCGGTTTATGTTTGTTTTTGTGCTTTAAATGGAAGATAATGAACTTTCACGTAGTGATATAACTAGTGAAATTACACTCACCAAGTTCAAAAATGTGGATTGCATTTTATACTTAGTTAAAATTCATGGCAAAATCTTTATTCTTGTAGAGTTATAATATTGCATTTGTATTCTGAGGGGAGGCATATATCAATAGACTGGTGTTGTCTGTTTGGAAAAAAA